CTGCTCTGCAAGTCAATGTAGAAAGGGCATTTTCTGGACTGAAATTTATTTTGTCACTTCAGTGGTCAAAATATGACTGACAGTTCTGGAGGAAGTTTTACTTATGCGTACAAATAACTTATTTTAAAACAATTTTTCTATAAGGAAATATTTATCATTGTATTCTTTTGCTAGAAGTTACAAGCATAATGCAAGCATAAGTGTGCGTGACATTAATCTGCAGGAAATGTACCTGAACTGGTTCAAACAGGTTCAACGTGATTGAAATGGTTATCAAACCATCATTCTAAGTTAGTGTCTGAACCAGAACCGAACTAAAATGTTAAAACATGTTGATGAACCTGAGCCACAAGTGACCTGCAATTTTTAATACAGTAGTTCGACTCCCTGATTTCTCACATAATTAGTTTAACTGGCACATTTCTGTTTCCCCTGGACTGCACCAATAATGTGGATTTTAATGAAATACTCCTCTTTCCTATATTCCTAGCTGTTTTAAATACACTAAATTATGAATGAATTTCTATTTACATTAGCATTATTTTAGCCAAAATATAAAGACCACTTATATACCAGTTACAGCACATTGGGATGCCTGCATTCCGTCAGTACACCAAATGGTTGTTTGCTTTAAGCTGCAGTGACTTATAGTAATGGAATATATTGAAAGGATACAAAATAACCTGTCCCTTGTTCAAAATTCCTGACATCTTAACATTGTCTATTGCGCCAAACAGTGCTAATGACAAACAGATGGAGTCATCCATCTCTTTTTATGGGACACAAGGAATACAACATTCAGTCTTACATCAGCAATTTAACATTGGCATGGGACTTTGAGGAAATTTGGGAAAAAAGAAGGTATTTTATAGCTAGTGGCACAGCATAGTACTTACAATTAAGCAATTAGAATATATTTCTGAAGAGATGCTTTTAAAAATACATATATATGGAGATCAACACATTTTTCCAAAATCAAAACAGTCAAATATGTCAGACAGTCTGTTTCTATTTACTCTGTTGCCCTTGATTTATAACTTGGGCTGTATTCATACACTATTTATATTAGAACGATAAAATGCTGTCTTAACTAAACTAACAATTATTTAGAAACAAGCAATTTTGGACAATTGGGGAGGTCATGCAGACCGCCCAACGGCATTTTCCAGCAGACACAGATCAGACATGTACAATGGTTGACATTAAAAGTCAGCATTTCACATCAGTTAGAACACAGTGGTATTTAAGACTATAACAATTTCCCTCTATACTTAGATAGGTGATATCTGTAATAAACTGTGTGGGTAAATGTGGATTTTTAATGCCTTCTGCTGTAGCATGCAATCTGTTTAAACAACTGTGTGATTAGGTCTATCATCCTGATTAAATTCAATGTGTTACCATCTTACATACAAAAGGAATACACTTTTTGCACCTAGGGTAATTTGCCAGTTTTGCATTACAAAAAAGATAGTTGTCCTATCTCTCTCCCATACTCTGTGCATCTTTCATTCCCTGTTCACATTCTTGTTCCACTTGATTTAATCTAACCTGCTTTTGCTTGCTTCACTCAGGAATTTGGTTGGTTGTGAAGAAATTCCTAAACAGAAGAAACTCTGCCTACAAAATACTTATTAGGAGATGGGTCTATGTATACAGCTCTGGCCCTGATAATACTCTGTCTGGGATGGCTCTGAAAGAGGCGTGAGCTGAAGAGGCTGAAACTGCCTCTACTAGACTGGTTACAGCCTTTTTAGTTTGTGCATATATAATCTCACTTATCACTGGTCAGTGTGAAGCTTTCTCTAGTGAGCATGTGCATCTAAATGTCAATTTCTGTAGAATTTACGCTTTTATTTAAGAACAAAAAATTAAGTTTCTAGTATCTAGTTTCTAGTAAATTAAGATAACCTTCTCAAAGGAGAACTTGTAAACGAATGCAATTCAGTCTTGAGTCTGCAGACAGATGCAGGTCTCCTCTGATGCTCATATCTTTGCGAAGCACAGCTCTTATTCAGAACCATGTGGCCACTGACCGCTCTCTGCTTGCTCCATGTGAGGCACTTTGCAGCCACAGGTTCCACAAGTATTCACTGGGAACTCAGAGCTCTGTTTTGCTGATTTGAGGGTAGATTAGAGTTTCAATAGAATCCAGATGGACAGGCTTACTTCTGTTCTATTCAAATTCTTATATGGCCTCCATCACGTCTAAATAGCCAATACAAACTGATGGCAGTTAAAGATTTGTAGCTGGTTATTATAAAGGGACCAACTTTAACACGACCAGTTTTATCTGTCCAAATTTCTCCACCGAGTCTAGTACAACCGAAAACAAAGAAGAGTTTCACTGAAGTGAAATTACAAAAATAGAGATATGATCTTGTCTGCTATTTCTCTACTGAATCCCAATGTGTATTGATTGCATGTTGAGTTCTCCAAATGCAAAGGAACAGCAGGATTCAGTTTGCTATTAAAAACTTTTAAAATAATACCTGAAGATTTGAACAGAGCATTCCTTTTGTTCCCGAGGCAAAACTCTCATTGACTCAGTGGCGGATTTACTTTTTTTTCAGCCCCCAACATGGTGTCACAAACAAGCTGTCCAATAGTTGGATATCACGGTGTCTGATATGCTTGTAGAATCATAAGAGGGGTGTGATGGATAGAGGGATACATGGGCAGAGGGATACATACATACAGTTTCACAGGGATCCCCTGGGTCAGATATATGCACAATGAGTCACTAAAGGATGGTGTGAGGTCTCTACCAACAGCCAGTAGCCCACTGGTCATCATAATCATTGAGAAATGTCTGTACTGATGATAATTACTATGAAGTTATGTGCACATGCTGAAAATTATGTTAAGGCAGTATCCAGAAGGTGGCATGTCTCAGAAGGTTCCTTTTAGGCAGGGGGTAACAGACATTTATCCTCCCGTCTGGTCATTGTGTGTTCCAGTATATGCCTATTTGCAGCCTGAGCCACATGCTGATAAAGTGTTTGTGAAATCTACAAGGAAGGAGTATACAGGAAATAACCACTTTATGAACAAGGACAATGGATTGTTCTAATATATCTGGAGTGCAAACAGGCACCTGGGACCTTTCACTGAGAAGACAGCTGACAGAGTGACTTGTCTTATGAATGGAGGGTCACTGCCAAACTTGGCTGTAAAAAGGTGGAAAGACTTCAGGTGAGCACGGCTCTGTAAGACAGGTAAGTAGCTAAGTAAGTAAGTCTAGTTCTACAATGCGTGTTATGATTTTTTTCTATAGGCAACCATTTGTTTCCAATTCGTCTACTTGCTATCACTTGTATCTCTATACACTAAATAAACTTTTACTTGTTTTCACTAATGAGATGTCTCACAGCCCAGGGTACACTTGGGAAGTGTCAGAAGGGAGTCTAAAAAGGGAAATGAATCTCTCAACATAAAACATCCAATCCAAAGAAACTACTGATGCTTATTTTCACCCACTTTCCCTTATTGCTGTAACTGAAATCTTACTATTGTAGCCTGTGTAGATTTTCTTCACTGCCTAGCAGGTGCTAACAATGTTTTGCTGAGAAAATAAGCAAAAGGAGGGGAAAACACTCTGTAATATAACATGGGGCCTACACGATACTCTGCAGCTGTGGTTAGTTTATTTGTTTAGAGAGGTAGGAAACAAAATACAAATCAACATTTAGACTTGTGTTAACAGCTCACAAAACAAGAAATAACATTTAACAGACTCAAAATACAGCAAACCAAGGTTCAAAAATTATTTTAGAGAAAAAAGCACCAAGGATCAAATCTTGTTTCCACTGAAGCTAACACAAGTTTGGACTTAATGGTGAACATTAGAATTTGCGCCCTCCTCCCCAAAAAACCCACATCCCCAATATAGTAGGAGGTCTCCACTGCAAAAAAGAGGCTCAAGGTCTTCAATGAAAAAAATGTAGGCACAAAGTTGTGTCTGTATCTTTTTGCACACCTCAGTGTATGTAGAGAGAGTCCCGATATTACTGTTTAAATCACCCACCCCTTGTATGGCTGATCCAGAGCACAGTGGAATAACTGGACAGGATCCTATTGACTTCAGTGGACAAAGTAGTAGTATATACATTGGAAAAGACTAGCTTGAAACTTATTCATTTCTCTCAGTCCAGAGGATACTCTGGAACAGTGGTTCTCAAACTAGGGCCGCCGTTTGTTCAGGGAAAGCCCTTGGCGGGCCAGGCCGGTTTGTTTACCTGCCGCGTCCGCAGTTTCAGCCGATCGCAGCTCCCAGTGGCTGCAGTTCGCCGCTCCAGGCCAATGGGGGCTGCGGGAAGCGGCGCGGGCCGAGGAATGTGCTGGCCACCCTTCCCGCAGCCCCCATTGACCTGGAGCAGCAAACCGCGGCCAGTGGGAGCCGCAATTGGCCGAACCTGCGGACACGGCAGGTAAACAAACCGGCCCGGCCCGCCAGGGGATTTCCCTGAACAAGCGGCGGACCGGCTTTGAGAACCACTGCTCTAGAACACAGTCCCTGTTCGCCCTGTGAAAGAAAAGTAGGGGCAGCCATGCCAGAGTGGGGATTTTCAAAATGATCCTCAACATTTACCATCCAGGCACAACATCATCTGTTCCCCCACTGTTTGCTGTGATGATTGATGATAATGAAAAAAACTCCCTGGGCTGCATTCTGTGGTCTGCTACAGCGGTGCCAAGTGGATGAAAACTTAACAAAAATGGCCAAGAGAACATTCCTCTTGCAGTGAGGAAAGCGTCACTGACATAAAGCTGGCATAGAGGGTATTGGAAGAGAGAGGTAGTGTGACAGGAATGACCAAGGGCCCTGCATCTCACCTGATCATCAGATTGTGGTATCCAAACAACATTTACTCTTTGGATTTAATGCTCATGCTTTGTATATTTGCATTTAACAGTCTAGTCAGCATGCCCATCTCTACTATCTCTATTTTCCACTTTCTTGCAGCAGAAAATTTAGATGGTTGAGTTTGGTCACTCACCCATAATGTGTAGGATCCCCTGCGACTGCCCGGAAAAGTCAGCATGCTCTGATCTGAAACAGCAACAGATGCCAGACCGCTGCTTCTGGACTGTGGCCAATTAAAATCAGCCTCCGCCTGCTCAGCTTTACTTTTTTGCTTTCTTATAATCTGTAGGGTTGAAATAGAGAGAGAAAAAAAAAGGTTACTGGAAAGTACTGCCAGAGCCATATGGCTCAAAATGCACTGGCTGTGTCAAGATGAACAGCGTGGAATAGAAAGTTTGAGTTTCCTTTAGCTTCGGCCCCAGCTAATTCAAGTTTGATCTTCACAACCTGCACTTATTTCTTCTTATCTGAAGTCAGAGAATTTGCAAGTGCATAAGAGAGTTACAATAAAGTCATTATCTAATATCTGTAGGAACACCAGAGCTGAATTAAAACAATATGGAAATCTATAGCCCACCAATGGTACTTAATGTGATCTATATCTGGAAGCCAAGTATACATTTTCTAAGAATAAGAATGCATAAGTAGATGAATATTGGTATGGAATCACAGAATAAAGGATATGGGCTTGATTTCAAAAGTACACCTAACTCCTATTGACTTTTAACGGGAGTTAGGTGCTTAAGCACCATTTCCTTAGATTCATAGATTCTCAGGCTGGAAGGGACTACTGTGATCATCTAGTCTGATTTCCTGCATAACACAGGCCATTGAACTTCTCTGAATTTATTCCTGTTTGAACAAGAGCATGTTTTAGAACAACATCTCATCTTGATATAAAAATTGCCACTGATGAAAAACCACTTCAACCCTTGGTAAATTGTTCCAATGGTTGACTGTTAAAAATGTACACCTTATTTCCCAGTCTGAATTTGTATAGTTTCAACTTCCAGCAATTGGATTATGTTAAGTCTTTGTCTGCTAGACTGAAGAGCCCATTTTCTAATATTTGTTCCCCATGGAGGTACTTGAAGACTATAATCAAGTCACCCCTTAATCTTCTCTTTGTTAAACGGAACTGGTTGATCTCCTTGAGTCTAAGGGTATGTCTACACTGGCAGAGCTACATCGCTGGCAGCTATATCCCCACTCAGAGAGTGCTGAAGGGAAACTGCTGTTGTGTGTTCACACTGTCAGCTGCCTGCGCAATAGCGTGTTCACACTTGCGGCACTTGCAGCGGTATTTGGAGCAGTGCACTCTGGGCAGCTATCCCACAGAGCATCTCTTCCTCTTCTGCCACTAAGAATTGTGGGAAGGCGGAGGTGGTAGCTGGCATCCTGGGTCTTGTCCCAATGCCCTGTGATGCATTGCTTTGCATCCCAGCAATCCCTGTGCTTCTGTCCACATTCGGCGCCATCTTTCAACGGTTTGTGTACTGCACGCTCTGCCTCTTCGGTCTGCAGGAATGGACCCCGCCCTGTTGACCAATATGCTGCTCGCTCTGACTAACACATCACAAGTTACAGTGGAGTTATTCCTTAAACTACAAAGGCAAGAGTTGTACATTGATCTCGCCACATGTAGTAGCTACGACATGAGATTGCTTGTGGCATTCATGGAGGCAGTGACCCCAGTGGAGCGCCGCTTCTGGGCTCGGGAAACAAGCACTGAGTGGTGGGATCACATCGTGATGCACGTCTGGGATGAAGAGCAGTGGCTGCAGAACTTTCAGATGAGGAAAGCCACATCCATGGAACTGTGTGATGAGCTCGCCCCAGCCCTGCGGTGCAAGGACACGAAAATGAGAGCTGCTCTGTTGTTGGAGAAGCACATGGCAATTGCACTGTGGAAGCTGGCTACTCCAGACAGCTACCGATCAGTCGCTAACCAGTTTGGAGTGGGAAAGTTGACCTTTGAACTCATGTTGATGGAAGTGGGCAGGGCCATTAATCACATCCTGCCCTGAAAGACCGTGACTCTGGGCAACATGTGTGACATTGAGGATGGCTTTGCACAAATGGGCTTCCCTAACTGTGAAGGGGCAATAGATGGCACTCACATTCCAATTCTGGCACCAGACCACCTAGTCACCGAGTACATTAATCGGAAGGGGTATTTCTCTATGGTTCTCCAAGTGCTTGTGGATCACCGTGGGTATTTCACGGACATTAATGCAGGCTGGTCCAGAAAGGTGCATGACGCACACATCTTTTGGAACACTGCCCTGTTTAGGAAGCTGCAACCAGGGACTTTCTTCCCGGACCAGAAAATCACCGTAGGGGAAGTCGAAGTGCCCACTGTAATCCTGGAAGACCCTGCTTACCCCTTAACGCTGTGGCTTATGAAGCCATACACGGGGAACCTTGACAGCAGCAAGGAGTGGTTCAAAAACAGGCTGAACCAGTACAGAATGACTGTTGAGTGTGCTTTTGGCTGTTTAAAGGCCCACTGGCACTGCCTATATGGGAGGTTGGACCTGGCTGATGACAATATTCCTATGCTTATAGCCGCATGCCGTACGCTCCATAATATTTGTGAAGGGAAGGGTGAAAGCTTCACTCAGGGCTGGACCACTGAGGCTCAGCACCTGGAGGCTGAATTTGAACAGCCAAAGACCAGGGCTATTAGAGGGACGCAGCATGGGGCCACAAGGATCAGGGATGCCTTGAGGCAGCAATTTGAAGCTGAAAGCCACTAATATTTGTTGCTATGCTCAGGAGTGCAGTGCTTGTAATGCTGGGAGGTGATTGTGATTGGTGCAGAGGATGCATTGTGAAGGTTTAAGAAAATTGCCTGTTGCTTTGCAGAGCTCCGTTTGCTTTCAATTAATGGAATAAAGATTGCTTTCAAACCAAAACAATTCTTTTATTAAAAAACAACAACTGGAGGACAGAGACAAACAAAAGAACACATCAGCACTGTGGGGATGGGGGAAGGGAGGGTCCCAGACAGAGGTGGAGTCCCGGGATGGTTAAAGATTTGTGTATGTCCAGGTATCATATGCAACCTTGTCCACAGGGCTGCACTGTGACGGGGCAGGAATGGAAAGCAGTGGGTGCAGACTGGAGTCAGGAGGTTAAGAGTGTGTTGGCGGTGTCTGGGGGGTACACGGGAAAGAGTTTTGTGACAGCGGCTGCAGGGGAGGGTGGGTGTGGAGCTGCTTAGTTTGCAGTGCTAGTAGCGCCTGGAGCGTGTCCACTTGGCACTCCATAACATTTAAGAACTGCTCCATGGCTTTGTTCTGGCGCGCCACTTTCTCCTTTCGGTCCCTCTTCTCGCTGTCCCACTACTCCTTCAATTCTTGTTTTTTGGCCGCAGCGTGCATCATGACATCACACAGAAAATCCTCTTTAGTTCTTCGTGGCCACTTTCTAATTCTGCGCAGCCGTTCAGCCGGCGATAACAAAGAGGGAGGCTGGGCTCCCAAGGTCATCTCTGTGAAGCCAAAATGCAACATTTTACAGAAGCAGTATTGTTTGCAACCCATAGACCATTGATTCAGTGATTTAAAACACAGCCGCTATTCACATACCTGTCACTAACTGGCTGACCCCAGGCAAGCACACATGAGCCACAAGACCCCCAAAACGGTGAGTAACAGCAGGGGCTGGGGAAATCACTGTTCCAGGACGGTACTGTACACTGGGCACGTGGCTCTTGGGGAGAGCCAGCACTATAGGGAGGGCCTTATAATCATTACTGTCCCCACATTTTCCACAGGCTGTGTTCATTATGGAAGATATCTTGATGCTGAGGGTGAGCAGGGAATCGAGGGAGGGTCTTCCCCACACTGCAGCTTCTGCCCTGGCCCTTATGTGGCTCCCCCATGTGCAGCAATGGTCCCTGCCCCCGTGACGGCAGAGTGGTGCAGGAAAGTTACCCTTAATGGGACAAAGCAGCTCTGCCAAAGAACCTGCGGCAGTGGATTGCCCAGTATCTCCATGAGAGTTTCGTGGAGATCTCTGAGGCAGATTCCCGTGAAGTGAGCGAATCAATCAACACCCTGTTCCGCTGCTCAGACTAGGCATGTGGTGGTAAGAGCACCATACAGACACAAGCCTGCTTTCTGCAACCCTCCTGCCCCCAGCAACTTGCTTCAGCAATTCCCAAGATCAAAGCCACTTACCAGGGGCCTCCTCTCCTGTTTGTGCTTTGCCAGGATCTGACAGCTGTGACTGGCTGGCCTTCTCCGGGGTAGAGAAGAGCTCCTGGCTGCATGCATCTCTGACCTCCGAGTCGTCCTCTGCCTCTGGATCCCCCTCCCACTCCACATCTTCACCCAGGATTTCCTCTTCCTGGCTCAGTCCCTCTCAACTGGCACGCAAGCCACCAAAGCATCCACTCCAGATCTTTGTAGAACTGGCAACTCGTGGGCGCAGCACCGGAGCGGTGGGTTTGCCTCCTGTGCCTTGTGGTAGGCGTTCCGCAGCTCCTTCACTTTGACCCTGCACTGCACTGTACCGGTCATGGCCCCTTTCTGTCATGCATCATGAAATCTGTCCATAGGTAACATAATTCCTACGGCTGGAGCGCAGTTGGGACTGGACAGCCTCCTGTCCCCAAATGCTGATGAGGTCCAGCAGCTCAGCATTGCTCCAAGCGGGGGATCACCTGGTGCGTGGAGCAGGCATGGTCACCTGGAAAGATGCACTGAGACCACTGCATGCGTCATCAAGCAAACAGGAAGGGGACTTTCAAAATTCCCAAGGAATTTAAGAGGTGGGGCTCACGGTTGGTCACCTGAGGGCAGGGCAGTGGAGTTCAAATCACAGCATTGTGGGACACCTCCGGGAGGCCAATGACAGCGCTGTAATCTACCACGGTGTCTACACTGGCACTGCAGCACTGTAGCCCCGGCGCAGAAAGCTGTATGCCTCTTGTTGGGGTTGTTTTTTTATAGCGCTGCAACTGTGCAGTTTCTGCGCACTAAGTGCCTTGGCAGTGTGTACACCTCAGGAGTTACACCACAGAAAGCTGCTTTACTATGCAGAAACTTGCCAGTGTAGACAAGGCCGAACACTATAAGGCACAGTTTCAATTCCTTTAATCATTCTCGTGACACTTCTCTGAACCCTCTCCAACTTTTCAACATATTTCTTGAATTGCAGACACCAGAACTGGACACAGGAATTCCAGGAGTGGTCACACCAGTGCCAAATACAGAGAGAAAATAACCTCTCTACTCCTATTTGAGATTCCCCTGTTTATTCATCCAAGGAACGCATTAGCCCTTTTGGGCACAGCGTTGGACTGGGAGTTCATGTTCAGCTGATCATCCATCATGACCCTCAAATCTTTCAGAGTCACTGCTTTTCAGAATACAGTCCCCCATCCTGTAAGCATGGCCTATGTTCTCTGTTCTTAAATGTATCCATTTAGCCATATTAAAACACATATTGTTTGCTTGCATCCAGTTTATCAAGCAATCCAGATTGCTCTGTATTGGTGACTTTTCCTCTACATTATTTACCACTCCCCCAATTTTTGTGTCATCTGAAAATTTTATCAGTGATGATTCTGTTGGGATATGTTAGGTTTAAGTAAAGACCTGGGAAGCTGCTGGTATGCTGACATGGCATTAGGGAAGAAAGGCACAGACAGGCAGTATTTCTTTGTTTAATAAATAAGTTGCCATATTTTTCCCTTCCCTGTTGCTTGTTGAGAATTGATAAGCCTTGCAGCTGCGTAAGAAATGTAGTTGTCTAAAAAAATACCCTTTGTGTAAAAGAAGGGTTATCTCCCCCTCCCTTCTTTCCTAGCTACACAAGAGAGCCCTGGGTCATGGCCCCTTCCTCCCTCCCCCGAGAACTGCTGATTAAAGAAATTTGTAGCAACAAATTATTGCAAAGAAATGTATTTTCAAGGTAAAAATGCCTGTATAACATGCGTAATGTTGTGAACAATATAGAGGGGTGGATATACTAATTGTATGGGTGTTTCTATTACTTAATAAGCGTTTTTCGGGTGTTGTACCAGATGTAGGCATTTACATACTAACTTAAATAAAAGGAGTGTGCTGTAACTAATCCAGTGCTTACTCGACAATTGGGTCGAGGGGAACAAGTATCGCAATAAAGGATCCCATCTAGTCAATCCGCCTCTGGGTCAACCTGCTCCTTCTTCTAACAGATTCTATGTTTTCTTCCAGGTCATTAATACTAATGTCAACTAGTACGGGGCCAAGAACTGCAGGACTCCACTAGAAATACATCTACTTAATGATGATTCCCCGTTTACAATTACATGTTGAGACCTATCAGTTAGCCAGTTTTTAATCCATTTAATAGGTGCCATGTTAATTATATATTGTTCTAGTTCTTTATCAAAATGTTATATGGTACCACGCGAAATGCCTTAAAGAAGCCTAAGTATATTACATCAACCCTATCACCTTTATCAGCCAAACTTGCAATCTTACCAAAAAAGGTTTCAAGTTAGTTTGACAGGTTCTATTTTCTACAAACCCATGTTGATTGGAATTAATTATTTTACCCTCCTTTAATCAAGGCTTGCGTCAGCTGCTCCATTATCTTGTTTGGGGTCGATATGAGGCTAACAGAACTATAATTACTATAGTTGCGTTTACTATTTTAAAATATTGGCACAACATTAGCTTTCTTTTAGTCTCCGAGAACTTCCCCAATGTTCCATGAGTTTTGAAAATCGACATTAATACTAAACGATCTGTTCGGCCACCTCTTTTAAAACTCTTGGTGAATTGTCCGGAGCTGCTGATTTAAAAATGCTCAGTTTTAGTAGCTGCTGTTTAACATCTTCCCGAGTGGAATGGAAAGGAAAGTGTTTCACCATCATCTGATAAGATCACATCATCTGTTCCCCCGCTGTCCCCCCCAATACAGAACAGAAATATTCATTGAACACCATGGTCTGTTCTGCATTATTATTGACAATTCTATCGTTCTGCATTATTACTGACAATTCTACCATTTTCATTTAGTCATGGACCAATACCATAGTTAGGATTCCTTTTGTTCCTAATATACTTTAAAAATCCCTTTGTTTAGGTCCTTAACTCTGCTAGCCACTGATTTTCCCTTCTGTCCTTTTGCGTTCCCTATTGTCTGTAATTGCTAGCTTCTGATTTATATTCATTACTGTGAACTTCCTTTTTTGTTCATTTGGTATATATATATTTTATAGCTACCTTCACTTCCCCCCTAAGTGTTTGAAAATGTACCTTTGAAAATCTACTTCATCTGCAGACAAAAAAAGATTGAGTAGTTTATCTAATCTATCTCCCTGCAAGTGTAGGATTGTTCTCTGTAATACTTGAGCTCGGTGCAATATTTTTGACACAAATTCGCCAAAGAGATTCAGCCAGAAGGGTTTTTTCAGGCTAGATTCAGAAAGGCACTTAGGTGCTATTCGTAAAACAGCAAGAGGAGGAGGAGGTGACCTGTTACCCAATAGCCCACTGGTTAGGGCACTCATCTGCAATATGGAAGCCCCCATACAGGCAGATTAGGTATCTGAACCCCAGTCTATCACCTTCCAGGTGAATGCTCTAGCCACAAGGCTATAGAGGAGAACACGCTCCCCTGTCCTCTTCCAATGACGTTTCCAAATTTCCTTTGTTTTAATTTTAAAAAGCAGTTAAAAGTGCCTAAAATCAAAGCAAAATGTTTCATTTGACCCCAAATGAAATTTTTGGTGCTTTGTTTTGCCAAGAAATTTTTTCATTTCAGATCGCTCAGGAACAATTTTTCCCCTCGATTTCTCGCACAGCTCTATGTAATGTATGTGTATGCACATTTCCCTGTCTGATTTGTAATGGTCTTTGGGAAATTATTCTATAGTGAAACAGATCTCATCGACAGGCAGCTTTTGACAAACCTGCCAACAGTTCCAATTTGTCTGGGGTGGTCCAGGTTTTTAAAACCTATTCAGGAGAATCAGTCTTCTGACCAATTTCCCAGGAGCTGCTGCAGCAGGAGGCAGGATATTTTCCATTGAGCTGTTCCTCTCCTGGATATTCTTGTCATCCACACATACACATTCAATCCTTTTCTGATATGTATCATCTTGCGTGAGTTAAATCAAACCTTGATAGACTACAGGGCTGTCTTCTAGCCATTTAATATTCCAAAGAATACAATTCGCAACAGCAAAGCTGCATCACATACCTTCTGCACTATGGTAGTGGCAAGCTCTTCAATCAGTTCCTCCTTATGTTCCCGTAAATAACAAGCCTCGTTCTGTTTGTCCTGCACAAAGATACAATTTATAAATACTACAGAGTCACATTTGAGTGGTATTTTTACAAGATCAATATAAAAATAAAAATGAGTAACATCCTACTTCGCATTGTATGCAGAAAGAACTGAATGTAAATAACTCTAATTTATTGGAATATCCTGTATTTCTGAAGTGGAACATGCGTGCTATCTTGATGATAACTTTCAGAGAAACAGCACACAATTCTTTTAGCTAATGCAGTAAGCTAATTCATCACTGCATTACGTTTTCTTTGATTTTCACTCACCTTTCCACTATTACTTGAATAAAGAAAAAACTGATCTATATAAGCCAGCTGAATGTTATTAAAATTTTTTTACCAGGCTTTCACCATATGTCTCTGCCTTGGAAATGGCTTCTTCTACTGCTTCTTCTGCCACACGTAAGGCCACAGCTAGGGTGTCCATCATACTATGTCCTAGTCAAAAAGCAAACAAAATACCCACATTTATGCTCAGCTGCAAAATTCAGACCAAGATTCTTCAGCTTCAGTAATTCTTAGATCTAGGATTTTGGTATAGTCTACTGCAGAGATGCAGAGCCAGACCTCAATCCCAAGCTGATCAAGATGCACAGGAACATAAGAATGGCCATACTGGGTCAGACCAATGGTCCATCTAGCCCAGAATCCTGTCTTCCAACAGTGGCTGGTGCCAGATGGTTCCGAGGGAATGAACAGAACAGGACAATTAGCAAGAGCCATCCCCCGTTGTCCACTCCCAGCTTCTAGCAGTCAGAAGTTCAGGGACACTCAGAGCGTGAAGTTGTATCCTTGACCATGTTGGCTAATGGCCATTAATGGACCTATCCTCTACCAACTTCTTTAATGCTTTTTTGAACCCAGTTGTACTTTTAGCCTTCCCAAATTCCCTGGCAATGAGTTCCAGAGGCTTACTGTATGTTCTGTGAAGAAGTACTTCCTTATGTTTGTTTTAAACCTTCTGCCTATTAATTTCATTGGGTGACCCCTGGTTCTTGTGTTATAAGAAGCGGTAAATAACACTTTCTTATTCACTTTCTCCACACTAGACTTGATTTCACAGACCTCTATCATATCCCTTTTTAGTCTTCTCTTTTCTAAACTGAACAGTCCCAGTCTTTTTAATCTCTCCTCATAGAGAAGCTGTTCCATACCCCTTATTATTTGTGTTGCCTTCTTCTGTACTTTTTCCAATTCTAATATACATTTTTTAGGTAAGGTAACCCGAACAGCACGCAGGATTCAAGATGGATTTATATAGTGGCATTATGACATTTTATGTATTATTATCTATTTGTTTCCTAATGGTTCCTAACATTGTTAGCTTTTTTGCGTGCTGTTGCACATTGAATGGATGTTTTCAGAGAGCTATCCACAGTGATTCCAAAATCTCTTTCTTGAGTGGTAAGAGCTAATTTAAACCCCATCATTTTATATGTATAGTTGGTATTATATTTTCCAATGTGCATTACTTTGCATTTATCAACATAGAATTTCATCTGCCATGTTGTTGCCCAGTTTTGTGAGATCACTTTGTAACTCTGCAGTCTGCTTTGGACTTAACTATCTTGAGTAATTTTATGTTGTCTGGAAACTTTGCCAACTCACTGTTTACTCCTTTTTCCAGATTATTTATGAATATGATAACCTGCACTGGTCCTAGTATAGATCTTTGGGGGTCCGGTTATTTACCTCTCTCCACTGTGAAAACTGACCATTTATTCCTACTCTTTGTTTTCTATACTTTAACCAGTTATTGATCCATGAGAGAACCTTCCCTCTTATCACATGAATGTTCACTTTGCTTAAGAGCCTTTGGTGAGGGGCATTGTCAAAAGCGTTCTGAAAGTCCAGGTACGCAATATCAACTAGATCACCCTTATTCATGTGCTTGTTGACCACCTCAAAGAATTCTAATAGATTGGTGGGGCATGATTTCCCTTTACAAAAGGTGTGTTGACTCTACTGTGTTCATCTATGCATCTAATCATTCTGTTCTTTATTATAGTTTCAACCAATTTCCCTGGTACTGAAGTTAGGCTTACTGGCCTGTAGGTGCCAGGATCGCCTCTGGAGCCCTTTTTTTTAAAAAAAATCAGCATTACATTAGATATCCTACAGTTATCTGGTATAGTGGCTGATTTAAGGAATAGGTTAAATACAACAGTCAGTAATTTTGCAATTTCGTATTTGAATTCCTTCAGAACTCTTGAGTGAATACCATCTGGTCCTAGTGACTTCTTAGTATTGAATTTATCAATGTGTTTCAAAACCTCCTCTATTGACACCTCAATCTGGGACAGTTCCTCAGATTTGTCACCTACAAAGAATGGCTCAGGTGTGGCAATCTCCTTCACATCCTCTGCAGTGAAGACCAATGCAAAGAATTCATTTAGCGTCTCTGCAATGGTCTTGCCTTCTCTGAGTGCTCCTTTAGAACCTCAATCGTCCAATGGCCCCACTGACTGGGAGGCTACCTGCTTCTGACGTACTTTAAAAAAATTTTGCTGTTAGTTTTTCTGTCTTTTGCTAGTTGCTCTTCAAATTCTTTTTTGGCCTGCCTAATTATACATTTACACTTGACTTGCTATAGTATATGTTCTATTCTATTTTCCTCAGTAGGATTTGACTTTCAATTTTTGAATGCTTGCAGGCATTTCACTCGTGACTGTTCCTTTTAATTTTTGTTTAACTAGCTTCCTCATTTTTGTGTAATTCCCGTTTCTGAAGTTAAATGTTACTGTGGTGGGTTTCATTGATATTTTTCCTCCAAAAGGATGTTAAATTTAATCACATTATGGTCGCTTTTACCAACTAGTTCAGCTATATTCACCTCTTGGACCAGATCCTGTGCTCCACTTACGCCTAATCAAGAACTGCCTCTCCCCTTGTGGGTTCCAGGACTAGCTGCTCCAAGAAGCAGTCATTAATGGTGTCTAGACATTTTATCTCTGTATCATATCCTGAGGTGACATGTTCCCAGTCAATATGGGGACAGTTGAAATCCCCCATTATTAATGAGTTTTCTGTTTTTGTAACCTGTCTAATCTCCCTGAGTATTTCACAGTCACCATCACCACCCTGGTCAGGTGGCCAGTAGTACATTCCTACTGCTGTGCTCTCATTTTTCAAGTGTGGAATTTCAATCCATGGAGATTCCATGTTACAGTTTGAGTCATTTAAGACTTTTACTATATTTGACTCTATGCTTTTTTCACATATAGTGCCACCTCCCCTCCCTCAGTCAGTCATTGCTACTGTATATATTTTGTATGTGTCCCATTGCTTTTCATAGTTCCAGCAAGTTACTGTGATGCCTATTCTATAAATATCCTCATTTAATATCAGGCACTCAAGTTCACCCATTTTAGTATTTAGACTTCTTGCATTTGTACACAAGCACTGATAAAATTTTTAAGTATTTAGTTGTCTGACTTCATGTGATGTAATTGAATACGAATCTTTTTTGTTTGACTGTTTCTCTTCATTTCCTGCCTGTACTTTATCAGCTTCTAGCCTCTCCTCTTTACTAGCTATGGAGTATCCCCAAGGGACGTCTGTCTGAACTGTGTGCTCCTCTGCACCTGTCAACTTTCCCCCCAGCCTTAGTTTAAAAACGCCTTTATAACCTTTTTAATTTTACATGCCAGTAATCTGGTTCCATTTTGGTGTAGCTGGAGCACATCCTTCCTGTATAGGCTCCTCCTTTCCCAAAAGGTTCCCCAGTTCCTAATAAACCTAAATCCCTCCTCCAAACATCATCCTCTTATCCACGCAAAGATACTCTACAGTTCCGCCTGTCTAACTGGCCCTGTGCGCGGAATTGGAAACATTTCAGAGAAGGCTACCATGGAAGTCCTGGACTTAAATCTCTTACCAAGCAGCCTAAATTTGACCTCCATGACCTCTCTCTCCTACCTTTCCCTATGTCATTGCACATGCACCTTGATTCTCAGAACCATGATGATGAGCATTGGCATAAACATCTCAATAGACAGAAAAAATGTTGGGTGGTCTGTACCCATTTCTATATTCTGCCTCTCTGGCATGTCTATGTGCCCTGCAGTTCAGATTATGGGGATGTGACAGCAGTGCTCACCAAAGTGCTGCACTGTAAATCCCCCATGTGGACTTTGTAGGCGTGAACTAAAATGTTCCTAGTTTGCATTAACTTAGTCCTCTTCAAACAGGGCTAAATTAATGCAAAGTAGGAACCTTTTGTTCGCGCCTGCAGCATTCACACAGGGGAGTTATAGTGCAGCACTTTGGTGTACACTGCTATTCACACCCCTGTAATCCGAACTGCCAGACATTTCCGTAAAAATACAGTATTGACAGAGGCTACTAACTTTCTAAACTTAAATAATACATAACTTACAATTTTACATAGAAAAACACAATATTTCTACAAAATCCATTTAGGGATACTAACAATGTGCTTACTTTAGTTGGGTAGTTATGATGAGAGGAATGTTTGTAACAGAATTTAACAAAACTGAGACCTATATGAAAAACAAGTGTGTATGAGCATTAGGGGAAAATCATGTGAGAGAGAGAGAGAACAAACTCTGAACATGTGTACAGTATTAAGAAAACCATATTGAAGTGAATGCATAATAGGCATGATGCAAAACAGATAAAGTCTAGCATGTGCCCTGTGAACCACAGAAGCTCTGGTAACTCACTAAAGGTTTTAGCTAAAAGATTAGCGATCCTGTAAACGTTTCATCACCAGGGACCAATGCGACTTGGAGACCCTCCAGCACTGTAGGCTATTTATCAAGTAACTCAGTAACAGTTCAGTTTTAGTGCAAATGAATTTTAAGTAGAGTTACCTTCTGTCTGTCTGTAGAATGTAGAGTCACTGCCACAAATGCTTCCTTCATTTTCTATGCTTCCTTCAAAAAAGCTTCCTTCTGCTCAAAAAGACAACACAACACATATTGTATATGAATATTCAATATATTATTAGATTAAAGTACTCTTTCAAAAAGTAGTGGTGTTTCTAACTACACCACATGTATAGAGGAGTAGTCTGAAAATTCCTGTTTGAATTTCAGCTGTTATACAAAATGTTATTTCTTTTATATGAAAGATTTCTCAGAGAGAGAGCGAGGGGATGAAGTTACTTAAATGCAGAACTTGTAAAATGAAAGCTAGTGCAGTGAACTTGCTTTTAACATGACATTTGGGACTTGAAACAGATCCTGGATTTTAAAGGCCACTACTGTATAAATAAAACAAACCCAGACATTTAAACTTGTATTTATCTTCAAATGAAACAAGAGGGTTATCTTACAGTCATACTGAAAATAGAAAAAGAAAGTTAACAATGACATTTAGACGCTGAGACCTACAGAAAGGTCTCCTATATCCTGCACATCCTTACTTATGTATCCTGCATGTTATTACTCATGGGAGCAGTCTCATTTAAAGGCATAATTCAATGAGACTACTTTTGAGCATAAGGAATGCCTCGATGCGTAAGGTTTTGCAGGATCAGTTTCCTGACTTTTTTAATTTTCTGCATGTATTTAAATTAATTCTTTTGTTCCATTTGCATCACACCCACTAAATGTAGCATGCCCGCCTTTATTTTTTCATTTCCATTTTTGAAGGTTTTTTTTTTTTAAATTGATAGGAAGAGAAAAGCAACCTATCAAAATGGAATCTTTTAGGATGGCATTCTCCTGTTCTACCTACAGGCTTGCCATGTACTTCTAAGTAGTATTAAAAGAGCCACTTAGAGTTGCCTTCACCCAGGTGCACACAGCCTTGCTATTATTTTTGTTTTCCAAGTGCTTAGCTTATCTTCAAGAAAGAAAGAAAGACTTTATAGAAAACATAAACCTTGTAGAAAACACAAACTCTGTACAGATTTCAGTCGAATTACACTAGGGATGAATTTGGCCCAGTGGAGGTAAATCATCTCAGAAAGATTAGTCTGGTTCTGCTTCTGAATCATTTGCTATTCAATTACAGTAAATGTGCCAGCATGACAGCAAGAAAGCACTGTCCCCAAACTCACTGAATACCTTCAATTACTAGTTTTATAGGGGGATGCATCATCTCTCCATAGTTAGGAAAGAATTACATCTCATTCTAGAAGGCTGATATTGATATTAAACTGATCACATTTCTTCCCCATTTACTAGAGAAACTTCAAATGTAAGCCGCAGCTGCAATTCACATGGGGCCAAATTCTATGGCAAACAGGCAAAACTCCAGTTGTGGTATGGACTGCAGGATCTGGCCTTAGTCAAATTTTGCATTAAGTGCAATGGAAAACCTCCACTCCAAAATTCTGTGCTCATTCATTATCTACACAAAACTCTCAGAGCCCTAAGCATGTTCATGGAGAGCAGAAACAGCTGAAATTTGCTTTGTAGATCTGAGAGCAGAATTTTGCCTTATAGATTATCTAAATTTTGATTAGTTAAATAGCTCAAATCTAGCCCAACTCCCTAGATATTTAACTTCTTATATTCCCCCACTGTAATTCTTCTGAAAAATTGTAATTTTCTCCCCCCCCCCCAAATACTCTCAGAACTCTGATTGGGTCCATCATGTGAGTTAATGTGGATGAGCCTATAAAAAATTAAAACTGTACTGTACCTATTATTTCAGAACAAGCACCACTCTCCAGTCTATGTTTTCTGTATAAATTCTTCAGGACTTTGGCACTACCAAAACGCTTGAAGCGACTTTTCACATTATTGTAATACCATTCCAGGGACTGGGTCCTTAGGAGTCTAAAGAGAATAAATGAGCAACATTTCAGAATGCTTAAAAGGAGTCTACATCAAATAAAAACAAAAACTCTCCCTGGTCTTTCCTAAAAATTATATCTACTGGGCTCTCTTAAATCAAAAGCCTTATAGCATAATATTTTTGAACACTGTTTCTTGGTTTTAGCTTGAACAAGTCTGGTTTTATGGCAAAATAAGTACTGGAAATGTAGCTAAAAGTCATTCTGATTACAGTAGTAAGTTGCTTGGTTACCATATCAAAATAGCAGATTATATATTTTAACAAATGTACTGAATACATTTTGAAAGGCTATCTACAGTATTATAGAATAACATATGAGGCTATGGTTTTAAAAGTGTTAAATATTTACATGGATTTATAAATAACTCACTATGGAAAGAATAGTTAGTTAAGACTTTACAGGGCCTGGAGAGCTCTCTTTTTCTCTTTGATTAAGATTTTTTTAAGATTTATTTTTCATAAACATATACAAACATTTACAGAAAAGAGCTCATTGGACAAGGTCTGTACAAAGAATCTTAACTCATTGCAAACAAATAAGAATGGGTGGAAAACTTTATTGGGAAACATTCAAATAAATAGTGAAAGTGCCATCATACTGGAATGTGTAAGAGCAAGAACTGGGAGGACAACAAGCCAAAAGACATTGTAAACATCTACATCTTTTCCCAAAAATCAACATGGAACCTGGATTTAGCATCTGTGCTCTGAATGGAAAAAAAATCTCCCACCTTTGAGTAGATTGTTCCAAAGCTCACTGAATGGAAAGACTCGCAGAGACTTCAGTGGGCTTTGGATCAGGTCCCAAAAGACCAAGAAGATGATGCAAGCCATATCAGCCCCTTTTATGATAATAAACCATAAGCAGGGCTAGCAGCAGAAAGTCTGCGCAGAGAGTGATTGTGGGTAGCCCACAGCTGACCGGCACAGTCTCAAAAATGGTATCATGTGGAAAGAACTCTACGAATTCCCAGCTGTAACTTAAAGCTGACCTCCACCAGCAGTAGCCCCAGGAAAGAAAAGCAGTGTTTGCACCAGTGGATCTGAATCAACTCCCATGTGTTTTTTTTTTTTTCACAAATTGATCTGATTTATTTGGTTGTGTACTGTCACATTAGTTTAGTTTATTTTATGCCACATTTACTTACATCAAGTCAGATCACATGTAGCAAAGTGACTGGTATATTCTGATGTGACAGTATAGCATAGCTACAAATGTGACAGTTCCCCCCACCCTTGTAATAATGTTTTTCAGTTACTAAAATGGGAGGGGCAAATCCCATACAAAGTAGGAGACAAGGAGTTTACGTTCTAGAACTTTGTATGTAATTAAGGCAATCTGTTGCTTCCTAAGACCAAGATTTTGAAACTTGGAAGCCAAAAGTTAGCCTTCTAAGACTAACTTAGGTACCTAAATAAGTGGCAGGGCCGGCTCCAGGCACCAGCTTACCAAGCAGGTGCTTGGGGTGGCCACTTCGGAGAGGGGCGGCACGTCCAGTTGTTCAGCGGCAATTCGGCGGACGGTCCCTCACTTCTGCTCCTAGTGAAGGACCTCCCGCCGAATTGCCGCCACAGATCGCGATCGCGGCTTTTTTTTGTTTTGTTGTTGTTTTTTTTGCTTGGGGCGGCCAAAACCCTGGAGCCAGCCCTGATAAGTGGCCTCATTATCAGAAGTGCTGGGCACCCAGCAACTCCAACTGACTTAAGCCATGATTTTCAAAAATGGAATCAATGGAATAACTGGCTACTTGATTCAGATGGGGTAATTCACTCCTGACACAACTCTAGTTAGCTTGTATAGTATTAATCACTTGGAATTTCTGTGGGATTCCTCTCAGGCACCAAAATAAAAACACACTAAGAGAAAGTGGTGATCTCAAAAGAATGTAATCGTAAGACCTGTTTTCTTCAGCAAGTCTGGGTTTCCTTTGCATATATGAGGCAAACGACAATCGACAATTTTTCTCCAACACACGTCATTTGATAAGAAATTGTGTTTTCCTTTGAGGGTACTAACTGTATGGTTCTGCCAGTTATATCATTTTTGTCAATTATCTCCACAGATTCTATGTTATGACCAAGCCCACCGTAAAATACATGACCCAAGAGTTTCACTAAATGTTCCCATTGGTCTCAAGTGTTCAGGGAGATGCCTACAATGCTAAATGGAATAGCACCAAACAGGTCCATTTATATTCTAGTCCACTTACATATCATCACTGAAAAACATCTCGTAGAGTATACCTATAACCTACTAATGCAGAGTGGAAACTAAATAAAAGTGGTAAAGTTTGTTCGCTGAATTCTTGCACACCAAAGCCCAGCTATAGATTAATTATAGGGCTGCAAATAACAAGAAAATACATGTATAGCACACAAGTGTCCTTTTTCTGTGTGTCTCAGCTTCAACTAGATTCAAGGCAGCAGCTTTCTCTTACTGTGATTGCACAGTGCCTAGCACAATGATGCCCCAAGCTTGACTGGGGTCTCTGAGAGCTAGTGTAATACAGATACTCTGTTAGTATACAAATAATACTAAGACTGATACATGTCCTGACAGAGTTGGCCAAAAATCTGTTTTCTATATGACGTCCTCACAGGTCACCTTGGTATGCACATGATCTACAACAGATGAGATATATGGGGCCAATGTCAAAGTGGCGGTCATTGTGCCCAAATCTGTTTGATTGTGAAATAGAGGGCTTTTGATTCCCTACGCTGTGGCTGCCAAAAAGCATTTTGTTCAATTGTAGGATGTCTGTGAAGTCCTGATTAGCAGAACTGTGCTTGGCAGCGGGAAACCTGGTAAATCCATGAATTCAGTCAACTTTTACTCAAAAACAGCTTTCAGCATTTCTTCCCACTTTAACATACTCACAAGTTGTCTCAGCCACATGTGAAAGTGAGAGTTTCTTCCACTTTATGGATCAATAGCATGATTGATAGCACTATTTGCATCCGTGGTATTAGAATTGTGTCAGAAAGGGAAAAATGCTACATCTTCTCTTGCTGAGTTTCATTCAGATTTGTCCACTAATGTTCTGGAGTGTTGGAAGGTTTGGCCTTCAACCTCTGAAATGAACACATGATCTTCATGATGGGTAAAATCAAGTTCATGTGTATGGGAGAGGAGAGAGGGCAGGATGCCCATTATTAGTTGAAATTGCTCCTAGCCTAGGACAGCATTCAAATGCTTGCTTCCCTTAAATGAGCAGTTATTAAATTAATACTCAAGAAACCATGCCTTCAAGTTGACAATCTTCCCAACTACCACTCTGTTCCTAAGCTTTGCTTTATGTGGTAGAAAAGCTTGCAACAAAATTACTTTTGTACCATCTGGCCTGACTTCCTTGACTCTTTTCAATGCACCTTTCAGCTGAAGTATAGCATGGAAAATGAATTAGTATCATTAGACAGATGATGATCTAGCTGTGAGCAGAAGTCAGCAATCCATGCTGACTTTTTTTCCTTTTACATCTGTCAGCAGCCATCGATACCACTGACCACAACAATAGCGACTTGCCTGCAGCTGTTGACTGGACTGGATGAGACTGCACTTCAGTGGCTCCACTTTTTCCTCTCCAAGGTTGTACCCACGCTAGGGAATGTTTATGAAAATTCCTAACACCGTTATCACTAGTGTATCTGCGGCAGTGTTAGCAACATTGGGAGCGCTAGCAGAGATGGCTCCATGGCTCTGGCATACATTTTAGCACCATACTAAGTAGCTTAATGTTGTGCACTAGAGGCATGTGCTTGCTAGCCACCATGCCATCAGGTCTCATTACCACTTTTATGAAAGTATCAAGCTCTTGCAAGTTAGGAACATGAATTCTAGTGCTGAGAGTATCAGGGAGCTACCACAATTGCAGCTGCAGGTTTACGGTAAGCATAATGCTTTAAATTTCTGTATAGGAACTCAGAGATTGTGAGAAGGGCAGATGTGATAGAGCTTGGTGGGAAATGGTTTTCCCATCTCATGAACATTTTTGAGTTTAAAAAAAATATCCAATGCTGCATCAGGATGAACTTGAGCTCTTTCAAAAAAAAATTTGATGAAAACATTCAGAGAGAGAGAGAGAGAGAGAGCGCTCCACCTCAGAATACCCAGTAGACTGGAGGTCAGGATACTTGACTAGGATGTGGGTGATTCAGGTTCAAGTTCCTGGTTTGAATCAGGCAGGGGTTCAAATCCCTGATCCGCCTGTTTCAGATCAGGGACTAGTTCCAGGTGAGTTCCCTGACTACCAAGCTATTCTGAGATGAAGCTCTCTCCTTCTCCCTCCGACCCCCCCAAAATTCCATGCTGGACCCGAGAAACCTTTTCCAATTACAGTTTAGTTAAAACTGATATGTTCCTGCAAAATCTTTTGGTTTAGATTAATCCAAATTTTCTAATGAAAAACGTTTAGTCAAAAATTTCCTGACCAAGTCAGTGAATGACTAAAAATGAGGCTTGCTTGCCTACGCCACCACATCTGGTTGAGGAGCAAAAATTGGGAATAGTTTTGAAACTTCCTCAGTTCTGGCGGTTGAAAATTTGTAAGAAACCTTATAATCTCCCTTTTGTGATAGTGAGCCACAACAACTCCAAATCTGTGCTTCTATTCTGCATGCATTCTATAACAAATTGCAATGACTCTTCTAAAGCTTTTCAGCCTCTTAACATTCAGATAAGTCACCATGTCCCTGCTGATTTCTACTGTGGAGAAAGGATTTGGAGAAGAGAATAGCCATCCCTATGGATACCAAAATAAAGGTCTTATTCACAAAAGAAATATGGACACTTTCTGCTCATTTCAAAATCCTTTAATGTTGGTCTGTATTTTAAAGCCATGACTCTTCTACATACTGCAAAAACGCTTTTCTATGTGCCTAGAATTATGAAAAGCTACATCATAGCAACCACCAAATCTTACACTGAAGCACTTTCCCCCTCTTATCTATATTGCAGTGTGTGCAAATTCTTTCCATGAAATAA